GAAGAATGCACATTTCCCCCTTTTCACTGCTATATTGTTCTTGTCCGGAATTTTTAGGAATTTTTTTACAATTGTTCTACGTTCCTGAAGTGATCCCTTTGATGCCACCAGTGTGTCGTCTATATAACAAATTGTGAACGATATGTTCCTTAAAAGTGAGACCATGACCCGTTGAAATTCGTTGGGCATATTACCCAGTCCATAAAATACGGTTAAAAACTAATAACTTACCATTTTTTCACCGCCCTTAATACTGAAGTTACATTGCTTAGTCGTTTTTTTTTGCACAATTTGAGTTGGCTATACGTATTATTCAGATCCAAGTTGCTAATTTAAACTTGTCTAGCAGGTATTTCTGAGATTTGTAAGGCCACGTTATCTCTGAGCTCATGGATGTTGGGCATTTGACATTTGTTTTTAAAAATCTGGTCAGTTAGCAATTTAGAATCTAATGCCAATTTAATTGAGCCATCCTTCTTCCTGGTAATAACAATCGGGCTAATAAAATAATTTTTTTTCACGTTTTTCAAGTATTATAGAGTGACCCTCGGTCTCCATTCTTCTTAATTGTTCGTTAACTCCCGCAACAAATGTAGAGAAAATCTTCTCAGTTTTGACTGAACAGGTTTGAACGGCGAATGGAAGTGTGTAACCTTGCGATTGTAAGGAATTTTTCCCCCCTGAGTGAATGGTTCTTTAAATTTATTTTAAAAAATTGATCGGTTGAGAAGAAAGGTTTAATCCACTTACTCTCGATTGGTGGTTGGCTGACTCAGAAAATTGGCTGGAGGCATTTTTTCTGCTTCACTTCGATACCTAGTTTTGGTAGGTTATACTTCCTCAGTATGTTGCGTTCTTGTCCATCTGTAATCGAAAAAGGCGTTTTTTCAATAAACCATCCGTTGTATTGCGTCCTAACAATAATCTTTCCTAGGATGTTGATCGTGTCGTCTTTGAAGCCGCAATACAGGTCCCTAATCCTCTTCTCCACTGGATAAGTTTAAAGATTGAGGTATTTTAGTTTAAGTTCGTGCAAAACGTTTTGTTTTAACCAACTAACTGGGCTCGCCGAATCTACAGGAATGTTCATGTTCACGATCATTTCCCATCCCAATCCTATGTTTAAAAGTTTCTTGTTTTCTAGTCCACTTTCGTCGTAGGTTGCTCTAAGACTCAACACCGAGAAATCGTCATCATCACTGTGACCGCATTCGTTCCAGGCGTTTATCAATCCGCACATTTCTTGATTTTCGCTCATCGAACTTTCCGGCGGGACATATAAACAGTTCTCAGTATTTACATGATTAACCGTTACAGTATTTACAGTGGGTCGTTTCTTACGAGATTTACATAATTTAGCAAAACGTCCTTTGTAATGACAAAATTTTTCATATTATGTCCTTCGCTGGGCATACGTTCAGGTGTCCTTTCATAAATGGACTCCCACATTTATTGCACGCATTGCTTCTTTGTTGAGGCTCGGTTTTTTCTTGATCTGGTTTTATGAATTAAAAGATTTAAAAGTAGACCCGTCGGTCGAGGATCTCGCCGTATTTGGTTTAAATAGCCTTTTTCATCAATCAAGGCCTGATTGTGCGCTTCCGACGGGCTTATCGTGGCTGAGAAGAGTTTCCGTTGAGTTTCCATATTCTTCATATTACAAATGAAGATATCTCTTATCCATTCGGCTTCGTCGGACTCCCTTATGTTGCATATACTCACCAGGACTGTCAGTGCTCCCCAAAATTGTTCGATTGATACCCGATCCTTTTGTTTACGGTTTAGTAATTTGTACCTCTCGAAAGTTGTAGTTGGAGGTTTAATAAATGCGGTGTCAACTAGTGTCCAAAACTAGGTTAATGATACAGCAAAAGTTTTTACCCGAGGGTTCTTTTGGGCAAAGACAAGTTCTTTTTTTTCGCTGCCTTGTGCTAAAAACAAAATCGAGCGGAGTATTTTTGGCAGCTTCAGCTCGTCTAATCCCATTAATTTTTTTCTTTTCTTCGTTTATCCACTTTTCCTCGGCGGCTTCGTGTTGTTTCATTGAGTTCTTGTTCCTCGTTTCTCTACTGGCTCAGTCTGTGTCCAGCTCGCTTCCTGTGGTTTGCTCCAAGATAGGAATTTGCGTTTCTGGTACCTCCGGCCTGTTGATATTTATGTCCAGAATTTCTTTCGCATATATCGCCCATTGGAATTGGTCGCTCCATTGGGTCCAGGAATGTGGTAGCTCTAAAGTACGGTTCGTCCAAAAATGGGAGATTCCACGCACGTTCGATACATTTGACTGCGCCATAATAAAAATTTCTATCAATCTATGTAGATATGTACAGCTGATGTACAATTACTTAAAAGAATAAAAGAAGTAAAATGAAGTGTGAATTTAAAGCGTTCGAAACTAAAACTAGAACTTACACACAGTGATTGACCAATGGTCTATTCATGCAATGTCAACTGGTATCTAATCAAAACCGAAGGTCATAAAGATAGTCAAAAAACAAATCACAACAAGTTTTTTATCAGTTTTAGCATGGTGGCAATCATTTCGCATTTCAATAACTTATCTTCTTTTCCTAATTATTCGCAATTTTTTTAAACAATTCTTGTGAAAAATGAGATAACAGAATGCCACATAACTGCAACTAGAAGAAGCTCAGAAAATATAGACCACTGTGAAATTGAATAGCCCACTGTGAAAGCAGAAACAAACTGAACTTTTTTAATCTGTTTTATTTTTTTCAGATCTTTACTTCCAATTTCAAAATCAAGGTTATATTTGAATAGAAAACGCCATGCTCAATAACTCAATTGCTCGAATAAGCAGTCAATAATCAAATTATAAACCTAACAGCTAGCAGTCTCAAGATTTTGAATTAATTTTTGAAAAAACACAATGCGGTCCTACTATGATAGAGTTGTCCATGAAAAAAGCAACTATGATAGACAGGTCCCGTTTTGCATGCTATAATTTTGAAGATTTAATTGTATATAAATTATTTTTTTCAAAATTTTCACCAAAAATATTGAGTCAGAAAATTTTTATATAAAATATGGTAGCTACTAGTATGTTTCTATCAAGAAAAATGATCGCTCCAATTGATTTACGTTTCAACAGCCAAAATTGGGTTAACTTATTTGTCACAAAAACTCAATTTTGGCATTTTTTTTATTATTATATCTTAAAATGGTAAAAGTTAAGTTTTACGAAGCAACGAGACATATAAAAATTGTTTGAAAATATACTGTATACTCTGAATAGCAAAAATTTAATTATTAAACAACTTGAGAGCTTTAAGTGTCATGTTTTCAAACAACCTGATTAATTTCAGGAGACCACTCTATCATAGCGTACCAACAAAACTATTTTCCTTTTTTGAAAATTTTTTCTCACAGAAGCGAAGCTGCGCTTCGCAAACACTTGCCAGTACATGATAAAAACAGTTTTTTATTAGTATAAAAAAATTGAAAATAATCTTCGAATCAGTGCAATTTTGCTGCTATCTATCGGATTAGAAACTGCGACTTCGAGATCTGGAATTTCTCGCCCACAGACGCGGACGGTCAACTATCGGCAAACACTAGTCACAATTAAACCAGCTACATATGCTAACAAATTGCCAATGCGATGCAAGAAAAATGGCATCTGAAAAATTGGAATATAACAAACTGCAAGACTCCATACTAACTTTACATGAAGAAAATTGGAAAATGTGAAGCCAATTTATGTATATATACTGCGTCTTGAAAAAGTTAAAAAGAGATATATTGAGGCGGAAAAAATCGAAGTCATTTTTTATTGTACTGTTGTTTAAAACAAATAGCTTTTTCAAACTCAAATGATAAATTAAAAATGCATCAATTGTGTTAACTCATTTCCTAATCGATTGTCAAAGCACAGCTATCAAAAAGCCGAAAAGATGCCACTAAAATTGGAACCAATATTTGCGACTTAGGTTGGAAAAACAGAATAGTCATACTATTACACTACGTTTGCTAAAGCTTGCGAGTATAATTAGAGTTGTTTCTGAACAATATGGATAAACATTTTTCAGTATCAGTTTGTGTTTTGACTCAGAAATTTTGGAGGATAAACGAAATGTGATGTTTTTGCTTATCTTCAAAAAAACTATCAAAAACGCAACTGCGCTTTAAATTTAGAAACTTGCTTGTATCAGAAAACCCTAAAAGGTCTGATTAACTTTTAAAATGCCCATGAGTACATGAAAGATTTTTTGGGGCTAGTGCGCCATCAATTTTTGTCTTATGTGTTGTTAAGGGTTGCAAGAATTATCGATTTTTTTTTATTTTCCAATTCGTCACCGCCAGAAGCCTAAATACTTCCCTAGGTGAAGGTTTTGCCTCATCCATTTTAATTATGTCCACTAATTTGAACAGTAAAAAGAATAAAATCGAATTGAGGAGGAGGACAGGAAAGATTTAGGGAGCCCGATCAGTCGGGAAATCGACCTTTTTGCTTTTTTAGCATACCCCAGCCCTCACTTTCAAATTTGTCACAAAAATGTTTTTTTTTAAAACGCATGAAAATTAATCTTTGCAGAGATTCCATCAAAGTACCCAGTCGCTTCCGAAAGCCCCTCTCGTATAAAACATGGAAAATTAGAGAAAAAAAAACAGTCGGATGAGCCAAAGTGAACAAAAATTTGGAATCCAAATTGAAATTTAAAAGTTGACTTTCTGTGAAACTATGTCGGGGCAAGGCCATGATTTGTAAAACGGCAAAGGGCAAAAAAATTTATGACTTTTTAAAGTTAAATCGGCTCCTACTTTATAAACGATACGCCCCGCTTTCTGAGCAGTCATTAAACTGCAGCTATAACTGACTCATAATATAATACTGTTTTTATATAACTAACCAATGGATAATAGGAGCAAATTAAATTCCGCCCCTTTCGTTCCGACGGGAGGAAGTTAAGTTAAAATGTTGAATGAGGTGAAAAAATGAACACGTGAACTCAATTAAATTTATCGCATTTTAGAATTACCCTGCTTTCCTCTCCTTCTCCGCTGCCCGTGGTCAACATAGATCCAACTTTGAGAAGAGGCTGAAACAAAAATAGAGAAATGAGCTGCTTTCAAATTACGAAAAAGTTTTCAAAACATATCTAGTCATAACAAAATTTGCTAAATTGTCAAACAGATAAAAATGTATTAAGCTTTTAGGTCAGCAGACAAATCAAATGCTTCTTTTTACCTCAATAATTATCGCATTACAAAATTAAATCAATAATTTTTAAATGAAAAAACACAGGTGCAAAAATATATCCCCCAAGAAATCGGAGAAGTCGGAAAAAAGGTTGAAAGTATAATATGCATTTACACTATTGGCTGAAATTTAGGCATAACTTATTGTACATATTTTTGATCAGACAAAAATTGTTTTCCAATCAAATAACTCCAAGCCTTTCGTTTACCACTTTTCATCTTGTCATTTTCTTTATTTTAAGCCTCCGTCTTCGTTTTGAACACCGGTATCTTTTGAACTATTTTTCTATCAAAAATATCTGGCAAAACCTGCACTAACCCATTTCAAACTTCAAAATAAAATTTGTCAACTTTCAGAAATGAACAACTTTTCGACGATTTCTGTTGCCATTTTAATCTCCGTTCTCATCCTGTGCAACAATTTCAATCAAGTCCATTCACGACTCTACAACTTCCAAGGTCATGTAGATCAAAGATCATACAACGGGGAGGAGAAGAGAGCGTTCCGCCATTCACCGTTTACATTCCCGACACAGGCTGAAGGTGCGAACAAGAGGGAATTCGGATTCCCCGAAGACGACGACCAGTTTAATGTCGAGGATCGAAGATGGTGAAAAGATTGGTGAAAACATTAGCTCTTTTTATTATGTCTTTCGGTGTTCAATGAGTTTGATAGAATTAAACAATTACTAATCACAACCTTGCTTAACAATTTTTTTGTTCCGTAGTTTTGTTCTTCGAAATGTTCAAAAAAGAGGGGAATTATTTCGCAATGAACAAAGCACTCCAAATTAATTTTCTAGAAACTTAAAATTCAGGAGTTTTTCAAAATAAATCAACATTTTTGAGCAAAAATCATATTTTTTTTATTGTCAGCAATTTCAGCCTACAATTCCAACCTGGATAATAATGGTCTTATCGATGACCTCGTCAGATACAAACCAATAGAACTTCAATTCTAGTCAGGCAAGTTTAGCATTCAAATAGTTAGAGGTAGATTCAAAAACTTTGAATTATTGAGGAATTTTTGACAAGCTAAATTGTTCCAACCGCTTCTCATGAAAATGGTAGCCAGAGAGCTTTGAACTCGGATGTTTTTTTAAATCATAGATTACGGTTCCAAATAATTTCAAATAATTTGAAGGTGAAAACATTAATTTTTTTATTATGTCTATCCGTGTCTAATGAGTTTGATAGAATTAACCAATTACTAATCACTTCAATCACGGCGCTCAGAAAATCAATTTGATCGACCTAAGAAAACTTTTTGAAAATCCGCCCCCCCCCCTAGAGAAAATACTAGATCCGGCCCTCCCTAAGTGACCTACCACAGAATCTACTTTCCAAGCATGAATTAATTCTAAAAAATAATTCTGTACAAGATATGCATTTCATGCAAACGCATACAAAGTAATTAATTTGAAAATTTTTACCAATTTGTATTTTGATGGGCTACAAATATATTTCTGATATAGGCAATCTATTATATAGGTGATATAACATATTGTTCTAAAATATCATGTGAAAAAATCGTATTTTCTCCCTTCTTCATTGATTTGGGAGGAAATTGCGCAGTTGATCTGTTATTGACACTTTGAACTCAAATTTGTTTCAAAAGTTTAGCCTATTTTCAAATGTTCAAGGGCAATGGGAGCACTTACGGTTTGTCCTGATACGAGCAGTTTTGTAATTTTTCACATTTAAAAACAAAACAAACATTTTGTTCGAACAAACAAGCGGATATTAACTCTAGGGGTGTCTTTTTTGTTCAGCCCAATTTTGGTGATAAAAAACTAGTTTTCCTAAAAATAAAATTATTAAACCATGTAGATTTCACGGATTTCTTCTCTAGGTCCGTTCACACACTCTACTCAACGGCACCGCAAAGTGGTCCCTTTGGTAGTGAATTCAGCGGGCAACCAAGATTCGCTACTATCCACAATCCCGAAAGGGTTAAGTTAGTGGCAACTATTCTGTACCGTATTCTGTTACTTGCCCCCTCTTTATACTGCTCTTGAGGCTGTCTCGCTCACTCCCGCCGATCGCAAGAACTTCCAGTAGTAATTGAGTTCAGATAATTATTGGTCCAAATACAGAAGGCTCTAGACGGCCCGAATAAAATCTAGTAATCTAATCAAAAGGAAAGGGGTCCGCGATCAATCAACACAATTACAATTCTCTTTTCTCTGGAGTACCCTAATTAACGAATTACTCACAGTAATTCTACTCAATCACTCAGTCCGACCTGCTAAAAATAATAGTGTCACTAAGGACACTATTCCTTTGAGGTACTTTGACTGATCTCTTTACCTCGCAATTCCTGATTCCCTAACTATTGAGAACCCAACTAATCTCACTACTAGTTCTCACAGTTCTCTCTCTGACTGAGAACCAACTCCTCTTCTTTTTAGCCATAATTTTCCTACCTAAGGGTAGGCTACTTGCTACTCTCTATAATGTTTGTCTATTTGAGTTTTAGTTATAGTTAGAGTTATGTCGTCACTGAAAGTCCTGATAATTACTTTGGTACCCTTTTCGTAAAGTCTTAATTGAATTCTTCCTCTGACGACACTAGTCCGAAGTTCCAAGTTCATTAAGGGTATCTCTAACTAAGTTGTGCACATATCAAGTCCAATTTCACCTCCAAACCGAGTTATACTTAATTAACCAATCTTCCCAAGGTTCTTATTTAATTATACCTTTAGCGTTCCGACCTCCCAGGGGTAGGGGAAGACTCATTTTATGAATTGCTAACTCATTCTGAGCATCTTAAATTCCGATTTATACTCTATTCTAATCCCGACCTTCTAGCTATCAGGGGAACGTAATTCTCTTATTAAGGGTCAAATCGGGCCAAAAAGCCACCTCCGGGGAGCTAAGTAAATACCCCTTTCGTTCGTATTATTTAGGAGACCTACTTCCCGTGCCATGCTACTGTTACTACCAATTCCCTCTGGGACTAATTTTCTTTTACCCTGATTGATATTCTATTAAAAGCGCATTCACCAAGCTAAGTTGGACCCAATGTTTGCCAAGTCCATTTTAATTAGTTTCACTATTTCAACCATACAATGTGTAAGTGATATCTCTTTCAGCTTCTGCTTCATTACCCAATAGTCCCAATAGGTGAGTTCCCTCTCAATTATAAGTAGGGTGATCAAATCTCATTCCCAAGGGTTAGGGTCGAATGAATACGCCACTTTCTGATGTTAATTCCCAGGTTTTCTATACGAATCTGGTCCTAAACGCCCAAAAGTCATTTTGAGGTCACCCTGGGGTCACCCGGGGTCAACCTTCTAATTCAGGTTTACAATCTCATAGAAGTCCTGCCTACCAAGTTTGTCCATATCCCGTTAATACTTCCCAAGTTATTCCATTTACATTGCCCATTATCACTTTTCCCGGGAAAAGGCTATTAACACCGGAAGGAGCCGTCGGAGGAGTTTTAATCACGAGGGGTCTATTTTCGGGGATGAGTTGTAGTGTCTGATACCGCCATATAATTCTATGCCCTCGCTCATTATTTTGCATAAATTGCCTATTTCCGGTTTAGGGGTGGTTTTCCAAAGTGCTAATAACTTCCGGTTCAACCGCTGGATTTGGCTCAAATTATAACGCAAGATGTACTCCAATATTACCTATGTTATTCTATAGTTTTAGGTCCCTGCGCTCACTGGGGTCCGGGAAACGACTCCCGAAAATCGGGGTGGAGTCTAATTACATAGGGCATAGCACCGGAAGTAGGGGTCCAAGGGGTCTGGGATCCTAAACTTAAGCTTTCTTAGACTGGGTCTACAACATACTATGTTCTGGCTCCATTCCAACCGCTACTTACTGAGATCTGATAGGGCCATTTGCAATTCCGGGAACAGTTATCACTTGGGGCCGTGGGCTCCTAGGGGTATGGATTTTTGCTTGCCCAGGTCAAATCATCTCTAGCATCCGTCCTACGAGTTTCATAAAGCTAGCCCCGTTCGTTTCCATTGGGGGGAGGGGGGTTGCACATTTTACTTCACCTGAGTTTTCCGCCAAAGGAGGGACTATATCTTTGGAAAACGGAACTATTTTGGACTTCACTGTTTGTTAACTTTTCTACTCATCTTATTGACTAAACAATCTTCATAGTACGTGCTCCCCATTAGCTTTACATTATTACGTGCGACTCAATACCCTTCGAATATGAAGCACGAAGTTTATTGAACGATCGTTGAGTACAACAAGGCTAAATCGGAGGGTACGGAGGTTATCCCTTCTAACTTAAGTAGGTTAGAGAAGGGAACATTCCGACGTAAAGCTTCCCTCTATTCCTTTAGATTGCAAAACTTGTACCGGGATGGGAAAATTATTCTAAATGGTAGTACGATTATCCTACTCAGTATTCATCAAGACGACTTAAATCATCAAGAGGGTTATCTGGAGTTGGAACGTTCCGCTGATTGCAAGTATCACAACGATAAATTACGGGAAGCTGCCCTCTTTGTGTGCGCAAGTTGCGAGGGATGCTCAATACAGCGAATGGTTCTCTTATCCGACGGCCCGATGCCTCATTTAAGTATAGAGTACAGAGCATGTATTTGTCGAACGCTGGGCTTATCGCTTGGGCGGAAACCTGTGTCCCTCAATGACTACAAAACTATTGACTCGATTTCTCACGAAACCGCTTCGATGGAGTGCGCGCTTGGGAGGTCCTGTTGCTTCATTGATTGTTTTCATTACCTTCTAACTGGGAACCGAGTAAGGTCCTGGGGCTTTCAGAGGGAGCTCAAGGAGCAACAGAAAAAGCAGTCTGGGCGCCTGAGTTCTTTTTATTACCCTTATCACGACCCCAAACAGACGTTACTCGGTCGGGGTATTATCGAATCGAATATGCACATTTTGGCCGAACTACTCGGGGTGCATATATACGAGTACCGAAGTGAACTGAACTCTACCAAATGGAACTACGTCGCCGGGCATCAGCGAGGGCAAACGGGGCAGAAGCTATTTATGTCTGGTATAGCGTACAATCCGAGGGGAGACGAAAAAGGGGGGGTCACTGCGCTCTAGTCACAGGAATGTGTCCACGCACTACTTATACTACGGGCAATTTTTTTAGCACTGCTCTGGATTAGTTTGTGCGCGTATTTAAGCTTTTGTCTATGATGATGAAAGCGTAACCTTTTCAAATAGTATTGAGGTAATCTTATTGGTTATAAGAATTCCTTATAATAAAACCAAATTTATATCCAAACTTATGCTCGTATCAAGACGAAGCTCTGAATTTGCTTGTATCCGGGCGAAGCTCTGAACAAACCAAACTTATGCTTGTATCAGGGCAAAGCTCTGAATACTGGGACTGACCTTTAATTGGCCTCGAATAATTTTTGATAAAACAAAGTTTAGCAAAACTATAAATTTTAGGCTGATAATATTAAAAATTAAGTGTTACAATTTGATGCCTCAATTCAATTTGGAACGTTTTTGTAGAGCGGTATAATTCGTCACGCGTGTAAACAAGAGATCGATTCCTCGAAGGACCAGAGTTTTGTAAAAAAAAAAACTACCCGAGCATATTTTCCTAACTCTTTTCAAAAGTGGAAACAAAAATTTCAAATTTCATTCTGTACAAATTTTTTACGGATCTTGAAACGTTCAAGGCTTAGAGTTGATACGAGCATAGAGGGTTACGACAATTTAATTTGAGTATTAAATCGATATCATGGTTTTTCCCTACACTAAATTTTTTTATAATAATTGCTTTCAATGCTGTAAAAAAATTAAATTCTGAATAAAAATGGCTTTCTTCATTAGCAAAAACAGCGATCGCTCATTTTTTTGTTCAAATTTGTTTGTAGTAAAATTGATTTGGCATTAAATTTTTTGAATTACTGTAAACCCGAGCTCATTTGTGAAAAATCAAAGCTCATCGCGGCAAAGCAATGAAAAATTCGTTCGTCTTTTTGTTTTGATGACGGACCCTATAACTTTTCTAAAGGCGCTTTTGGCGCCACTATTTACTAATGTTGAAGGGGAAAAGCGCGCCGTCAAAACGGGCCTTTTCAGTGCTTTCGGAAAGCATGGAAAGGTAATCCCACGCCATTTCTTACCGGAACTTTTTTATGTATTTTCTATCATTTGAGCTCAAAAAAATCATCATTTCATTGAAATATGAAACCTTTCTTTGAATACTGTTATTCCGATCGTGGAAACTGGTTTGAGTGAAAAAAAATTACTTGATCTTAAATTTTCGCTATTTCCGTTAAAAGACGGAACAAAAAATGTTAACAGACAGTCTGTCTTGTTTATTTGATCACTTAGGGAAAAAGGGGAAGTAACCGTGGCATAGGATGTGTTTAGTCTGGCAAAACTGAATTTTCATATATTCACATTTAATCGAGTCGAGTAACTTTTGATTTGGAATCACTTTGAACCATGGTTTGAATTCAAAATTTTTTTCAAGGTTACAACAGACATGTTCAAAAATTTTCCGTTTTCCTTTTCCATTTAATGCGTGGAAAAGGAAGCAACCATCTATTTTTTGAATGAAAATTTAGTCCTGGTTACCGAATGCTTTTTTATATTATTTTATTCATTATATCCTCTGTATATAAGTAAAAGAAAACAAGGATAGGCCCGATGCCGTGGAAGCAGCGCAGAAAAATTACACAAAAAGGTTCTTACACGTTTTTGTATCAAATTAGTTTTGCTTTTGTGCAGGGTGTGTTGCAAGGATCTGAAGAAAATCTAAAATTTAGCTATATTGGGCAACCGCAGTAAAATACGCAAGTCGGTCAACGGTTTTTGCCAATAAATGACTTTGAAAAAATCAACAAACATTTAAAACTTTTAAAAAAAAGTTTTTTGAAGAAATTGTTTTGATTTTTGTTTTCTTATTCCTAAATATTTTTTATTCCTAGAAATGCGCTAAACATTTCAAAAAAATACAAACTTTACTAAAGTTTTATTGCTTATTCTTCTATATTATCTTGTCCGTTTGCTTTAATCGCCCGAAATTAAGTTGAAACTCTAAAGTTTCATGCCAATTATTCTGGACACGGACATTTTTTCCAAATCTTTTTAATGTTGTTCGAATCAGGATTTAAAGGGCTTTAAAAATATCACTCGACCGATTCCAATAATTAATTAGGGTAAATTTTTTGGTTGAAATAAAAAATCAGCCTGCTTGCTCACCTTGTTTGCTCGAAATTAGACCAAAAACCAAAAACTTCAAACCGTTTTTCTCAACACAAGAAAATTTTCAAAATTTTGAATTTCGTTCCAATCACAACTAAATTAAAAATTTAGTATGACATATCACTCAACCTATTCCGATGACTATTTGTGGTCTCTAAGTTTGTGTGAAAAAACTAAAACACATCCGAAAGCAAATTCTTCCTCTTTTTTCACATGGTCGAACCAAAAACAGGAAACTGAAGAAAAAAAATTTTTTTTTGTTAACTAAGGAAAATTTTCCTCAATGAAAGAATTTTTTTGAAGGAACAATTATTAATCCAGGCTGATCCAGGAATACTGATGTATTGAGAATACTAAATATCGACATCGACTTCCAGCCGAAATATGATCTGCGGGTCGCTTTTTAAACAAAAGAGTACTAAGAGAGCTCGATAAATCACAACAGAGAGAGCTCGATAAATTACAAAAAATGAACAAATATATCTTTTTTTTGCGAATCAGTCACCTCTCAAAACATTTAAAATGCGCATCTGATTTCAGTATCTGAGGAAAACTTTCGATGCATTAGTGCTCAGGCACCTCATTCAGCATCTAATTAAGAATCAAATTCCACATAAAATCATTTAGAAGCAAATTCAATGTAAAATTGACACGTCAATCTGCCAGCAAGCAATGTTTCAGGTTGAAATCTTCTTGGTAACAAGGTAAATTTTTATCAAAAATGACGAACACAATTTATTAGTAGCACTAACGTATTTGGGTACTTCAAAATAAAATTATAATGCACTTTAAAAATATTCATGGGAAAGAAAAAATCTGAAGGAAAGAAAAGTATTCATTTTCACTACAGAAAAACTATCAATTTATTAAAAAAAGATGGGTAGAGATAAAGTTTGATGCTAGCCTCGATGGCAAATACTTAAAGTAGCTTCGTCTACATCAAGGTAAGGATTGCAGTTCCATCTGCGACAAAATTCAATCGCCTGGAACAATTAATAATCAATATATTAAGTCTGTCTCGATATTGGCGTTGGTATATGTAGTATGTTTCAGCATGATGAACAACGGTCTCTGAGTAAAAGGGTAGCCTATAAAGCTGATTACTAATTCTCAGCTCTCCAGCGATTTAATGACGGATCTCCAATACATGAATTTCTTGAATAATTAAATAAAACGGACCACAAAAAGCCCGTTCTAATTTTTTCTCTGCAGGATTCCGTAAAAAGAAACAAGGCAACAAAAAGCATATATATTCCGAAATTTTTCAAAAGTCGGAACAAAAAGCGCTATTTCAAAAATGCATCATCTTGTCTTACATCAACTAATAAAAAGGACACAAAAATACAACTTTTCGTTTCATGATTAATATGTTAAATCTCACCAAAAACACTGGCAGCTCCTGGGCTTGCTGTGCCAGGCTGACTCCCTTTCTCTTCATCGCATCCAGAATGGCCACTTCTTGCTTCAGCCGGTCAAAGGTCAACAGACTCTCCACTGAAGAGAGACTCTGGGTGTACTTCTCCAGCCCCTCGTAGCCCTCTTTCTCAATGGATGAGGCAGCCAGATGTGCCAGCGACTCCTTAGTCTCCACCTCCTCAGAACTCTGCAAAGTATTATAACTGTTGAAAAATGAACATGAACTCTATTAGGGAAAAACTGAAAATAAGAAACATTATTTAGTGCTAGTGGCAATTTTAAAATTAGTGGAAGAAAAATCAATAAGGTTTATGGACAATTTATTTGAGACATCATGTCTGGTCCGTGCTATAAAAATTTGAATAGAATTGATTTGTATCAGCCCCATGGAAAACAAATTTTTGGAATTAGTCAAAAAAAAATTCCAACAAAATTTCCGAAATTCGGTTTATTAAAATTAATTGAATTTACCCCATTATGAAATGGCGTTCGCCCAGATGTGAAAATTATGTAATTTCTACTATAAAGTAGAAATAAATGCTTGAATAATTGTTATTTTTTACTATAAAGGAAATAAATAAAAATGATTTTATTATTGTCACTGATTGCTAGTTAATAAAGTAATTCCTAAAGCTTCGGGGAGTAGTATAGATATACGACACTGGGATCGGGGGGGTGATCCCTACAGGGATCATTGGGTATAGATTCCTAATGATCCCTATGTAAATATTTATACCTAATGATCCCTATGTAAAATATTTATACCTAATGATCCCTATGTAAAATATTTATACCTAATGATCCCCATGTAAAATATTTATACCTAATGATCCCAATGTATAATTTTTATCCCTAATGATCCCTATGTAAAATATTTATCCCTAATGATCCCTATGTAAAATATTTATCCCTAATGATCCCTATGTAAAATATTTATACCTAATGATCCCTATGTGAAAGTTGTGTTGGTTAAAACAAAATCGTACTGGCGATATATTATTTCTTTCCACCACCTATAGCTCGGCAAGCTATGTTGTATTCCAATTGAACTAAAACTTTTCATTGTGTTTTGCTGTTGAAGGTCTTTGCGAATTGGTTCTTTCAATGTTTCTACAAACGCTTTGGTCTTGGTGAAAAGAGATATGAACTGAAATGGTTGAATTATACACACAATCTTCTGAAGTAAGTGTCGGTTAAACGCACCAAAAGCAGTTTGGGGTCAATTCCAAAATGAAAACTCTCAAAACCACTCCAGATAAAATAGTAACACAAAACCAAAAGTGGATTTAAAGTAGTCCGCCATTACCTAACAGTGAACAAACGTGGAAAGTAAGTATAATACAGTACACTAATTTACAACATTAAATTTTGTATTCAACTTGAATCAAACACACAACATTAGAGTTTTTTGTTTGTTTTACGTCTTTTTGATTGCGGTGCTGAATCTTCAACTGCTTCGCGGTCGAGGTACCATTCATCATCCGACGACGAAGAAGAAGTAACTGCATTTGGATCAACCAAATCATCGCTTTCGATATCACTCTCAACAATTTCTGTGACACGAACTCTACCTGGATCTGGAGCTTCATAGCTGGTGATACTATTCAACAGGTCTCTCAACGAACGGCTCGGTTGAGTATCTAACACAAGAAAGCTATCTTCTGACACATAATTCGTATCCTGCGTAAAGATTTCTTCTTGGTTCGAGCTCTCGTGATCCCAGTCGACTATCTCATCTTCTTCCTCGAAAAATTTCAGCCAATCGTCTAAATCTTGATCTTTGTGGTGACTGGTGCTATTAGTCTCACTCACGTTCCTTTCGCTATCATCATCATCATCATCCTGATTGCTATCGGGAAAGATAGAAGCATTTACTGTTCTATAGTGACCGTATGGCAATGTAGAGATACCATCGCTGAGGATGTATCGCTTATCATCATAGGCTGATAATGCGATTTTGTTTGCTCGAACAGTGTTCAGAATATGCCTCTCGGAGATGATGCGAGTATTTTCGGCTCGTACAAGGTTTCCAGACGCGAGAGTTTTGATGTATTTTTCATGAGTTAGCAACCGTTGAGTCACCTTAGTGATTCCTTTTGCTGAGTGCTTCCGTGTATCTATTAAAAAAATGATGCTCACTAATCATTATATATCTAAATGTTTTGTAAACTAATACTTGAAATTGAAGAAAAAAAGTATGAACGCATCCTTTTCAGAAGATCCACACCCCCCCTCTCATTTAAAAAAAAGGTGATAACCATTTAACCTATACCTCCCCCCTTACCCCCACCCACAGAAGCACCAAAAAACCTAAGTCATCTCAAAAATTTCACTCAGTAAAAAATTTTTTCACAAAAAATTTTTTTCATAAAATTTTTTTTTTCAAAATTTTTTTTTTCAAAATTTTTTTTTCAAAAATTTTTTTCAAAAAATTTTTTTTTCAATTTTTTTTTTCCAAATTTTTTTTTTGATGACAAAATTTTTTTTTCATAAAAATTTTTTTTTTCCAAAATTTTTTTCTAAAATTTTTTTTTCCAAATTTTTTTTTTGATGACAAAAATTTTTTTTTTACAAAACGTTTTTTTTAACATTTTTTTTTTAACCAAATTTTTTTTGACGAATTTTTTTTTAATTTTTTTTCCAACAAAAATTTTTGACATTTTTTTTCTTTCAAAATTTTTCAAAAAAATTTTTCGAAATTTTTTAATTTTTGAAAATAAAAAGCGCTGTTTGAACAATTTTGAGCCGGTATTATTGAAGGAAATGTACTTACTTTGCGATAGTATTGAATAAAGCTTTGGCTTCAATGCAACGAATTCTGTAATTATATCACCCGGGAATTCGTCTTTAAACTTTAAAACTGTAAGTTTGTTTTCTGCATTGTAGAGGAAGTGGTCCGATGGATAATTGGAGAAGTCAAAGTTGTCCAAAATTTCACGTTTCTCGTACAGTTTCTCATAAAAATTCGAGTTTTTTTCCGTTTTTATTTCGTACATTAGGCTGTCAGTGTCTGAGTACAAGAGGTGACAGTTGAAGTTGGGCTTCATAACCTCGTAGTGAAATTTGTACATCTCAAACTTTGCTAGCTCTAGTATACACGCTCCTACAATTGTGGGTACATCCCATCTGATTTTCGTTGGTGCTAATGTCAATGCAACCATGTCTTCGCCAAAAATTTTGTAGGTTTCAAATTCAAACTTACTTATATTTCGCATTGTTTCTTCAGCATCTCGTAAAATCTTGATTTTCATTCTCTTTCTTTTTGACTCACACATTTTTCCATAAATTGAATTGATCAATAGTTTGTACAGGGCTTCTTCAAACTTGTTTTTTGCCGCTTTTCGTTTGTTTGTATTTAGAGTTATGTACGGTTCGAGCCACAATTCTTGTTTGAACTTTACGATGCGATACAGTTTTGTAACGATAAGACCAAGCTTCACGTAGAGTTTCAGGAGTTTATAATGAATTATATAATGAGTTTTATCATGTAGAGTTTGTAAAAGTTTTTTCACTTTACCTATTGTGGGTCCACAGTTTTCATTGTTTTTCATTTGTTCTGAGATATTTGTTTGGTATCTGCTCAACCAATCTTTTTGAACAACTTCCTTAGTGGGTGCCAGTGGATAGTCACGGTGACTTTCATGCAACAATTCAGGGTATTTTAAATCAATTTCAACAATATAACCGTAGTCTGAATCGTCAGGGGTTGCTAAAATTTCTTCTATTGACATGGAATTCTCATCTTCGTTTTCTTGATTATTTCTTTCATTTCTAACTCCGATTGTCTCGAAATGACGTGCAGGCAGTTTGTGAGTTTGCATTACTCCACCGTATAAGTTGTTGGCATCAACCATGAAGCCATAGGTAGTATCTTCGCTCGAATTAAATGTTTCGTTCATTTGCCTGTTGTTTGCAGTGAACTGTCGTTTTTCAAAGATTGATGCAGTACCACCTCGCATCATTTTTTCAACCATGTCTAAATGATCTCGATCCGTTAGCAATTCAACATCAGCTTTACATACCCGCTTGAAAGCGTCACCAGCTAAATTGGAAGCGGTGAAATGATGAGCACAATCAAGGCTGTATGTTTCATAGCTGATAGAGCGGAATTCCTCAAAGACACAGGCTAGGAGCAATGTGTCACATGACAAATATAAGTCATGATAGTCGCGCAGGTTCTGACAATTGAATTGATTAAAAACTTCTTTTGCTTCAACCAAGTTATCAGCACTAATAGCAATTTTATCTCCGTCTAAACTATTCACCCACTTTTCGAGAGGCGGTAACTCTTTTTCGTCAAACTTTTTACGGTCGGTCATGTAATTATAAGGATAGAATCCTTTTCTACGTATGAGAGTTCTACAAGTTTGGCTTACGTTTTGAAAGTGGTTTTCCAGAATTGTAAATTTGTTGTCAGGCAAGTTGTCAACTAACTTTTGTAGTGATGAGTTTAGAAACTTGAAAGAATCTATAAAACGAAGATACTCATAAATGTTTTGTGTTGTTTGATCTTTTCGTGTAATGGTTTTAACCACTACTCCGATAATTAGTGAAATATATTTCTCATCGGTGGATGGAATGACTTGTATTGTACTACGCGAGTCACATTCGTTCAACGCTAGACATATATGATGCATGTCATAATTCTGCAAATTGTGTCCCACGACTGGAATGTAATTTATGTTTCTTCGCGCTAAATTACATTTGTCGTGGGTCCATCCTAGAAATTTTCCCGAAGAGTGACAGTGATCCAGGCACTTTTCTTCGCTTTCACTGAAGTTTTCTTGACAAATCCAACAGGTTAAAGTTTCTTCTTTACGCAGTTGGCTGCGATCTCCCAAATAATGTGGTACTTTCCGTTTATAGATGTAAACGTCTCGGGCTAATAGATGTAACTCTTTGATAAAGTTTTCTAAACAATTTTCAGAGCTGTCAAGACTAAAGAAAAATGGTTGTGAGGACTCATGATCAATAGCAACCATTGAATACCCGGAGGGTTCATGTTTTTCTAGAACGCGAGATGAGGAAATTTGTGGGTTGTTCATACATGTTGTAACGGGATTCAGGAACGATTCGAAATCAAAATAAACAACAATAGGTGCATACCAGAGAGCTTGAAAGTTTTTAAATTTATACTTGTGGCAGCCATTTTCAGCTGTTGGCATTATCACTACAGCTGGTTCATGATCTTTACATAATCGCTCATGCGTTTTATGATCAATTTCATTGTAATGAATTTGAAAACAGTTACGACACAACTGCAGGAAACTTCGGAATTTTTGCTTTCGAACTTCACAAACAAATCGGAGCAGGTCTTTTATCAAAACAAAGTGGTGCATTCCGGGTTCATATAACAAAAGCAGATCCATAATAAAATTATCTGAACTTTCAAACTTTGAGACAATCATTGGAATGAGATCTCCTTTTTGATATTGAAACACGTTTACTTGAACGTTATTAAGTCGCTCGAATTGAG